AGACACTCCTAAACCTTGTGGACAGCCTTCCCAGAAGAGTTGAAGATGTTATAGCTGCAAAGGGTGGGCCAACTCAATATTCAACCCTACGGACTAAGACTGGAATGCCATTAAAGTCCCCATACTTTTGGCAATATAGTGTATATTACAATTGCATATAAAAAAACAAAATAACATATAAAAATTGTAATGCAGCAAAACAACATACATTCTAAATTCCCCTGTCTATACTGTTCAGTTCCATCTATAATCTATTAATAGTCACTAATAAAACAGTTTATTTATTTATATATTCAGTCCTTTTGGGGCCAATGTATCTAGCATATACTGTATATCCACTTGGTTTCTATTTTTGATAAATCCCTTACAAGTTTGGATCCTCTCCAAGAGGGAAGAACCCTGTTCACCCACAGAAACTTTAAACCCAAAGGGTAATTTCCATGGAACTGTCTAAAGTGTAGGGAAACACTGTATTGTTTATAAGCTATAGAGATATTATATACATGCTCAGCAATTCTTATTTTAAGTGGTCTCTTAGTCCGTCCAATATACATCGGCCCACACAGGCATTCTAAAGCATATATCACATGAGTTGTGTTACATGTGATAAATTCAGATATTTTGAAATCCCTATTTTTTGCCAGAATTTAAAATTGGTCAGACCTCCAAGTCTATTATTTACTTGTTTACACGGTTTGCATTTAGGACAGGTGGAAAAAGAACAATTCTGTCCCAAAACATTTGTTGTTTCACAGGAGAGTCTAGTATCTTTTTAACCAAAATGAGGGCTCTTCTGTAAATGAATGGGGGATTTTCAGGGAACACCATTCCCAAAACTCTATCCATGAGTAGGATATGCTATTATCTCCTGAAAATTACCTCTGCCTCTCTACATTGTGAATTGAAATTAGAGATAAAGCCCCACTGTTGATTGTTATTAGCCTGATCTTTGACCTTATCCTATAAACAATCCTCCCTTGATAAATTGAACACCTTGTGTGTTGTTCTCTTTAGCTGTTCACCATTATATCCCTTCTGAACAACCCTTTCTTTGATCCGAGACTGGGCCAGAAAATCTGACTGCAGTTTCTCCTCACTCTCATTATCTGGCTCTTGGGTATATTTTAAAGCCTTAAAGGGTGGTGCTCACTGGACAGATACAAATAACTGTTCTGGTCTGTTGGTTTAAAATACAGTTTAGTAAGCAAATAATTATCCTGCCTACAAATATCAACATCAAGAAAATTAATCTGTTCTTTGTACCACTGGTAATCAAGCTTATTGTTATTCAACTCTATTGAAAAATGTTGCAAAGACCTCTCAGAACCTGTCCAAATAAAGAGCAGGTTATCAATAAACCTTCCACAGAACAGCAGTTTTGCTATTGTCATACTAAATACACATTTATCATCCCATTCCCTCATGAAGAGGTTTGTCAGGCTGGGCACAAATTTCACCCCCATCACAATACCCCTCCTTTGGGAAATGAATTGCCCCTGGTACCAGAAATAATTGTGGGATAAACAAAAATCCAAAGCTTTCCTTAAAAAGATTTTTTGCATATAGAGAAAATCATCCCTTTTGCTTCAAGCCCAGTTAACCACTTTCCGACCGGCCGTTGTATATAAACGGCCGGACGGTGGCACTGCAGGGTCGGGTGGCCATCTATAAACGGCCTCCCCGCACCCTGCTTGTGCGCGCTCCCTGGGAGCACGCAGCACCGCGATCCGGTGCCCGCTGTGTCCTCCGGACACAGTGAAACACCGATCGTCGGACGGGACCTCTGTACGAGGTCCCGATCATGTGATCACTGATTGGCCAATCAGTGATCACATGCAAAGTAGTAAGCAAGATGTCACTTCTGACATCATTGCTTACTATGTGTGAAATCTGTGAATGATCACAGAGGTCACATGGTACAAGGCTATTCACAAAAGCCTTGTACCATGTGACAAGCTGTGACCAATCACAGTTCACTCAGTTCTTCTCAATGAGTGCAAGAATGCACACAGAGAGAAAGAGAAATGATTGCTTTTACATCCTATATGGGTGTAAAAGCAATCAGTGTAAAAAAAAAAAAAAAAAATCTTCATCACCTCTCACAAGTAGTACAGTGTTACCATGGTGACACTGTACTGCTAGGGTGACAGTATGTAAAAAAAAATAATAAAATAAAAAATAATAATATAAAAAAATAAAATAAAAATGTAAAAAAAAAATGTTTAAAAATTATAATTTTTGCTTATAAACTAATTTGGATTTTTTTTTTTTTTTACTAAAAAGATAACGGAATAAATTTTGGCTAAGATTTATGATGAAATATAATTTATTTGCAAAATTTTATAAAAAAAAACACTTTTTTTCAAAATTTTTGGACATTTCATTTACATAGCAAAAAAAAATACAAATCCCAGTGGTGAATAAATACCACCAAAATAAAGCTTTATCTATCTCAAAAAAATGTTAAAAAATTAATTTGGGTACAGTGTTGCATGACAGCGCAATTGTCGTTCAAAGTGTGATAGCGCTAAAAGCTGAAAATTGCCCTGGTCAGGAAGGGGGTAAAAGTGTGCGGTCTGGAAGTGGTTAAGGACCAACAAAGCATAATTATGCTGAATTATTTTGTGTAAAGGGATAAAACATTCACTGTCACAAAAAAAAACTTCTGGCTTGCCTTCTAAATTCACTTATTTAAGTAATTACAATATATTTTTTTGTATCTTTGAGGTAGGCTTTAGTTTATGTTACACTCACCTGTAAAAATGTATTGAGATATTGGCCCAGCCTAGCTGTGATTGACCCAATACCAATAACTATCCGCCATGCTGGGGGATCTTGCAAATTCTTTATCTGTATCTTTGACAATGTATATATAGTTGGAGTTCTGCACGTACTTGGTGTTATCTCTTTTCCTCTTTTTGCCAAAACTCTTGTTCTATGAGCATACTCAGCCACTCCTTTTTACTCTTCTTTTATATTTACCTGTAGAGTCCCTTTCTAATTTAACATACAGTATGTGTCCTGATCTGACAACATTACATTGAGTTGTGCTTGATAGAAGTTGTTATCCAGAACAACCACCCCTCCCCTCCCCTCTTATCTGCTGGGCAGACAACAATTTCCTTTCCCTTTTCCAATTGCTCAATATCATCCTGTATATATTAGGATTTACTCTTTTCTTAGGGATTATTCATCATTCCAGATCTCTCAAAACTAGATTTCTAAACACATCAACATTTTGATTAGCTGACATATGAGGATTAAACATTGATTAGCTCATAAATGGGGATTAAATGTTGATTTATTTTTTAGGCCACTATTAATCACAGCCCCCACAGGTCCTTCACTATAGGTCATATCCAGGGGCGGACTGACAACTCATGGGGCCCCCGGGCAATAGGGAATCATGGGGTCCCTGTGTCCTTGCCCAAACTCAAAAGGTACCAGGGGCATCTCATGGGGCCCCCTACTGACCCTCGGGCAGTGCCTGAGTTTCCAAATGGTCATTCCGCCCCTGGTCATATCCCATTCCCCTAAAAAATATTTTTTTATATTTAGCTTGCACATGTATTTATGTGTGGCTATGTAGACATCAAATTTACTAATGGGGCGTTTCATCACACATCTCAAACCTCAATCCTAGATATTCATCTCCTTATGCATTAGTGCCACCCTACTCAAATTATATATCCTACTGCTTACATCTCTCGCCTTCTTCTTGTTCTGAACCCATATTTCTGCCCTTCTTTCTTTGTTTCATCTTTGTTTCAAGTAAGAGAATAAAAAAGAGCCATGGTATACTTGATATTTTAGAACAACTGGCATAAATAAGGAGTTTTCTGTCACTTTAATCAAAGTGTATATTACCCTAAATACTAAAGAATATGTTATCCCAACATTTCATATTCCTGATATGTGTCTGCTCTACCATGTATTTGTGTTAAAAGCTATTCTGTTCTCTTTGTATTGCTTCCTTTGTGTGAAATCCCTGGTGTTCCTGCCAGTCCCCCTGCTTTCCTATTTCAAACTGATCACACTAGGCATGAGAGCACATTCATCCCATGTGGTCAGTTTTCTGGCTGTACTGGGAAAACACCCTGCCTGTCCTCCAATGGCCAAGACTTGCACAGCCATTAACTGGGAAGATCAGTGTGCCACTGTTTCTCTACCCCCAGCTCTCCAAACTCCTTATGCAGCTGAGAACAGAGATTATGTGATCACTTATACAAAAAAACAAAGAAACATTGTATTGATAATTTTAAACAAAAATAAATGGGACTTTAAGTATGCCTCCTATAGTAAATATACCAACTGGTAAAATACATATTTTTTTTATTAATAAAAATTTCATATTAAAAGGGTCCTGATGAAGTGGAGAAAACCATGAAACCCATAGCCCAACATATCAACCTTTTTTATCTCCTGGTTAAGCTCTATAGAAGGGCTGATTGCTATGACTGACCTCATGATGGAATTTTAATGCTTGCTGCTTGTTTGTGTCCAACGACATCTCTTAATATGAAATTTTGTTATAAAAGAATATACAGTATGTATTTTAATGACTTGTAATGTTTACTATTGGAGGCATACTTAAAGTCCCATTTATTTTGGTTTACTATATAACCTTTGATTCAGGGATGATGCCTCCAATAATGTGATTTCAGTTCTGAAGTTATTGTAGCATTCCACCTATATCCTTTGGATACTTAACCACTAGCCTGCCGGGCACTTATACCCCCTTCCTGCCCAGGCCAATTTCCAGCTTTCAGCGCTGTCACACTTTGAATGAAAATTTTGCGGTCATGCAACACTGTACCCATAGGAAATGTTTATCATTTTTTTGTGACGGATAGATCTTTATTTTGGTGGTATTTAATCACCTCTGGGTTTTTTTTTTTTTTTTAAACAAACCAAAAATCACTGAAAATGTTGAAAAAAAAACATTTTTTCTTAGCTTTTGTTATAAAATTTTGTAAATAAGTGATTTTTCTCCTTCACTGATGTGCGCTAATGAGGCTGCAGTGATGGGCACTGATAGGCTGCACTGATGGACACTGATGGGCACTGATGAGGAGACACTGGTAGGTGGCACTGATGGGCATTGACAGGCATCACTGATGGGCACTGAAAGGCAGCACTGATATATGGCACTGATAGGTGGCACTGACTGGCACTGTTAGGTGGTACTGATTGGCAGCACTGATGGGCACTGATAGGTGGCACTGATGCACACTGATAGGCGGCACTGATAGGCAGCACTGACGGGCACTGATAGGCGGCACTGATGCACACTGATAGGTGGCACTGACTGGCACTGATAGGCAGCACTGACTGGCACTGATTGGCAGTACTGATAGGTGGCACTAATTGGCATTGATAGGTGGCACTGACTGGCACTGATGGGTGACACTGAAAGGCAGCTCAGATGGGCACTGATATGTGGCATTGATGTGCACTGGTAGGCACTGAAATGTGGCACTGATGGGCACTGGCAGGTGGCATGGCTGAGCACTGAGAGCTGGCACTGATGGACACAGACAGGTGGCACTGCTGGGGCTACACTAATCATCAGGGCACACTGATCATCAGTGCACATGTCCCCTCCGAGGAATGCCGATTACTGGCTCACCTCTACACATGAGCTGTCAGCATGACAGCTCGTGAGGAGAGAAATGCCAATAACTGTCATTTCCCTGTTTACATGTGATCAGCTGTGATTGGACAAAGCTGATCACATGACCGAGCCAACATCTTTGGCTCTTTCCGTGGATCGGTGATCCGCTGTGTCTGTGGGACGCCGATCGTCGCTCTGCGTGGTGAGAATGGGATGAAGTCATATGACGTCCTCCCTGAACGAGAGAGAACCACCTCGCGCCCATCATTGGATTATATAGCGGGCGGGAGGCGGTTAAAAATAATGTATGTATTTATACTGTTATATACTGTACATATACTGTATATGTGTATATATGTTTGCCTTGCAATTCTATATTGAACTGAATAGGTTGTTTAACAAGGTAAAGGTTTACATATACTTTAATTTTGGTGTCTGGTCACATATGTGTATTTTATAGATCATAGTCTATTATTTTCATGTACTTCTTCCATCTGTACCTGATTGATCCTGCAGGTCAGCTTTATTCCTTGGTCTAAAGTGACCACAAAAAGCACAGGAACTGATCTGCGTTAGCATGGTCAGTTTTCATCTTTTGGCTGACCATTCGGAGGTACAGGACACTGTGCAGACACACAGTATGCCTGTATTTGACAGTTTGTTCAGCCACCACACCACCATGACTAATCACAGCCTGCTTCTGGCATACACCCCCACCCAATCACAGTCTGCCTTTTGAACCCCCCACCCCGCTCAAGCACAGCCTACATCTTATTTCAGGCTGAACAAACTATGCAATACAGGCACACTGTTTGTCTGCACAGTGTCCTGTAACTCCGCCCCCTACTATCAGGAAGAAGAGCATCACACTCGCCTAGGTGAATGACCTGCAGGAAGGGTGGGAATGGACCCTTTAAAAAGAATGTAACTATACAAAGAAAAAAACATTTTCTTGGTGTAGTGGAACAGAGTAAGAATGGAGGGAAGGGAACTTTCTTTTGAGGATGAAGATCCGCTTTAAATTTGCTCTTGTGTACTTTCTGTAGCTCTTCCCACATTTTTTTTTTTTTTTGCTGTATCACACTTGCATATGCACACAATTTGACCATTGTCTATGTTCAGGAATAAAGTGCTTTTTGGATCTTTCTCTAGCCACTCATCTGCAGTTGAGTTTGATATGGGCTCTTCTATACACTTTTATGTGCCCTCTCTTATCAGCAGCATCTTCATATTAAAGAATAGGTTCATCTTCAAACAAAAAATAATAAATGCACTTTTTTTGCAGGTTATGAGAGCCTGGAAAGCATTACACCTGCAATCAGCAGATCACTGGTGCCATGAAGGACTCCTGCAGATCTGCCAGTGCATCTGTGTTCTCATACCTTGTATGAGATACATGTGGTAGTTCATTGAGAATTACAAGCTGACAGCTGCAAAGGCTGTTGGAACTTGTAGTTCTCCCATTCACAGAACACTGTGAATGAGTGCCGCGGCCAGGTGGGTGGAGCCCCACATGATCATTTTTTTTTTTTAATTGTGACAGTGACTTTGTAGGAACAGTTTGATGTTTTTTAACAGATCAAGGCCTGAGAGGTAATATTCTGTTCATCGTGGGGAAGTTTTCTGAAGATGTACTATAGAATTATTGTTTCTTATGGGAGCAAAGCCACTGTAAAACCCCTTAGCCCTGAGCATGTGCCTTCACATTCACATATAGGACTCGATCCTAACTGTCCCTCTGTCTCCGCCTATTTGTGTTGCTATCAGATATTGATTTTGTAAGTAATACCTCCAGTAATAAATATATATTAGTAAAAGAAGTTGCAGAATGTTATACAATGTGGGTATTTCTCCATATAATGTATTGATGGCATATTTTTTTAACTATTCAGATATCCTTTCCAAAGCTCCTAAGGAAGCTCACATCTGCAAAACATGTCAAGCGTTATTTCAAACATTGGGGGTTGTGGCCACTCCCAGTCGTAGAGTTAGAGATTTAAAGCCTTTATCTATAAAATACTACTAGTTTTTGGGGGGCCACAATAACCCTTTGAAAAGGCGCTTAATACTATGCCAAATTGAAAAGCATATGTTTGCTTGTTTTAATTATGGTGTTCTTGTTTTAGATTTGTTAATAAAATTTTTGCACTTTTTAACCACTTCCCGTCCAGCCAATGTATATAAATGGCTGGACGGGACACCTCCAAGAGCGGGTTGCCGTTTCAAAAAGGCATCCTGCATCTGAGGCTCGTGCGCAGCTCCTAGAGCACGAGCCCAGTGATAGCCATGTCCCACGGACACGGTGGATCATGTGACATGGTACAGGACCAATGAAATCAGTCCTATACCATGTGATCAGCTGTGTCCAATAAGGACACAGTCTAACTGTCAACAGAAGCCACATGGTTCGGCTTCCGGCTCCTTCTCTTCACACGGAGTTCTGTCTGTGAGAAAAGGAGCCAATAGCCAAAAGGGAGAAGAAAAAAAACTGCCTTCCACCTCAGTGACACCTGATCGCCCCACAAGTGACCCAGCAGTTCCTTGATCACCACACGGTGGCCGTGTTTGCCCCACAAGTGGCCCAGCAGTTGCTTGATCACCACACAGTGGCCCTGTTAGCCCCACAAGTGGCCCGGCAGTGTTCCTGATTGCCACAGCGTCCCTGATTGCCACATAGTGGCCCAGCAGTGTTCCTGATCGCCACACAAGTGGCCCAGCAGTGTCCCTGATCACCGCAGTGTCCCTGATTACCACAGTATCCCTGATCACCACATAGTGGCCTGGCAGTGTTCCTGATCACCACACAAGTGGCCCAGCAGTGTTCCTGATCACCGCAGTGTCCCTGATTGCCACAGTGGCCCAGCAGTGGCCCTGATCGCCGCAGTGGCTCAGCAGTGTCCCTGATTGCCACACAAGTGGCCCAGCAGTGGCCCTGATCACCGCAGTGGCCCAGCAGTGTCCCTGATCACCACACAAGTGGCCCAGCAGTGTCCCTGATCACCGCAGTGGCCCAACAGTGTCCCTGATCGCTGCACAAGTGGTCCAGCAGTGTCCCTGATCGCCGCAGTGTCCATGATTGCCGCAGTGGCCCAACAGTGGCCCTGATTGCCACACAAGTGGCCCAGCAGTGTCTCTAATCACCGCAGTGGCCCAGCTGCAGTGGCCCAGAAGTGTCCCTGATTACCACACAGTGGCCCAGCAGTGCCCCTGATTGCCATACAGTGTCCCTGATAGCCGCAAGTGGCCCAGCAGTGGCCCTGATTTCCGCAGTGTCCCTGATCACCACACAGTGGCCCAGCAGTGTCCCTGAATGCCGCAGTGGCCCATCAGTGTCCCTGATTGCCACACAGTATCCCTGATCGCTGCAGTGGCCCTGTAGTATCCCTGATCACCACATAGTGGCCCTAGCAGTGTCCCTGATCACCACACAGCGGCCCAGCCACTATCCCTGATTGCCACACAGTGGCCCAGTGGCCCTGATCACTGCACAGTGGCCCAGCCAGTGTCTCTGATCACCGCACAGCATCCCAGCCAGTGTCCCTGATCACCGTACAGTGGCCCAGCCATTGTCTCTGATCGCCGTACAGCGGCCCAGCCAGTGTCTCTGATCACCGCACAGCAGCCCAGCCAGTGTCCCTGATTGCCAACAGTGTCCCTGATTGCCGCAGTGGCCCTGCAGTATCCCTCATTGCCACACAGTGGCCCAGCAGTGTCCCTGATCGCCTGAGTGTCCCTGATCGCCACACAGCGGCCCAGCCAGTATCCCTGATTTCCACACAGTGGCTCAGTGGCCCTGATCGCAGCACGGCGGCCCAGCCAGTGTCCCTGATCGCCGCACAGTGTCCCTAATCACCACACAGTGTCCCTGATCATCACACCGTGTCCCAGTGTCCCTGATCACCACACAGTGGCCCAGTCAGTGTCCCTGATTGCCGCAGTGGCCCTGCAGTATGCCTGATCGCCACACAGTGGCCCAGCAGTGTCCCTGATCCCTGCAGTGTCCCTGATTGCCACAAAGCGGCCCAGCCAGTATCCCTGATCGCCACACAGTGGCCCAGCAGTGTCCCTGATCACTACACAGCGGCCCAGCCAGTGTCCCTGATTGCTGCACAGCGGCCCAGCCAGTGTCCCTGATCGCCGTACAGTGTCCCTGGTCACCACACAGTGTCCCTGATTGCCACACAGTGTCCCTGATCGCCACACAGTGGCCCAGTGGCTCTGATCACAACAGTGGCCCAGTAAGTGTACCTGATCACCATACAGTGGCCCAATCAGTGTCCCTGATCACCTTACAGTGGCCCTGTTCATACAGTGTCCCTGATCACTGCCACACCAGTGGATCCTGTTCACCGCCATCGTCTGTGAGGAGAGAGATCCAGTACAACTAACTGTGAGTAATTTTCAGCCTTTGCACACAGTTTACACACACTCACAAAACATTGCCTGCCAGCTCACGGTATCTTTGATCTTTGCCCAGCAGTGACTAGTGTGAACCAACCGCAGCCAGATATCTGTCCCTCACTGCAACACCATCATCCTGATCACTGCCATTCCAGTAGGTCCTGATCACAGTGTCAAAAATATGGCCAAAAGGTTATACACAAGCAAGGAGGCATTTCAAATTCTGAGTATGACAGATGAGCGTAACGGAGAACTCTCCCTGACAGACTCCCCATGCCTCTTTAAACATACCTTGGGGTGTTTGCTTTCCAAAATGGGGTCATTTTGTGGGTAATTCCATTGTCCTGATGCTCCAGGACCTCCAAAACGGCAATAGGTAGTAAAGAAATGAAATGTGTAATTTTTGCCCCTAGAACTCCAAAAGGTGCTTATTAGATGTGGACCCCCCCTATGTGGCCAGACTGTGAAAAAGTCTCACACATTTGGTATTTCCATATTCAGAAAGAGTTAGAGAATGTGTTTTGGGATGTCATTTTAAGTATGCCTATGATGTGTAATAGAAATATCTACTTTGCTTAAAAAAATACAGTTTCATTTTCTTTTCACATTTTCTAAAAACGTGTGGCAAAAAATGAAGTCTTCAGAAGACTCCCCATGCCTCTTAAAACATACCTTGGGGTGTTTTCTTTCCAAAATGGGTTCATTTTGTGAGTAATTCAATTGTCCTGGTGCTCCAGGACCTCCAAAACTGTGATAGATAGTCAAGAAATTAGATGTGTAATTTTTGCCCC